CTTTCTTTCTTTCTTTCTTTCTTTCTTTCTTTCTTTCTTTCTTTCTTGTTTTTTTGAGACAGGGTTTCTCTGTGTAGCCCTGGCTGTCCTGGAACTCTGTAGACCAGGCTGGCTTTGAACTCAGAAATCCGCCTGCCTCTGCCTCCCAAGTGCTGGGATTAAAGGTGTGCAACACCACTGCCCGGCGCATTCTTGCATTTTTAAGACCTCCAAATGACTCATGTGGTGATATATAAACAGGTGTTTAATGCCTCCTTGCTAAATAATGAATGAATTCGTGAATGAGTGAGTGAGTGAGTGAATGAATGAATCTGAATGAATGTCTTCTTTCAGTGAACTTTAATAAAACGCAGTATTGAGCGTCACCTCTTGGGAATGGAAACTCCATCTAGGCAAAGTCCCTTTTAAATTAGATATCTTGTATTCTCAGCACTAAGGAGAATGACCTAACCCGAGGTAGCTTAGGGAGAGGCAGGAGAGCAGATCACACAGAAGGTACCCAGCAGCTCTGGCATCTGCTAGTTCACTCTTTACAGTCTAGCCAAGTAGATGAATCGCAAAGCATAGTCCCTGCCCCACAAATATAGCCATGCCTTGTGAGGAATTTGGTCCTGGGCAGGAAGTTTTAAGATGTTTCTGGGTTTCCTCTCCACTCTCAGCTATCATTTCCATTGTAGAAAGGCCCATCGGAAAGACACACACATTAGAAGACAGCAAAGTCAGACTATTCAATATTCCATGCCTGGTCCTAGTGGGCCAGGGCCGGGGCCTCTCTGAGGTCCCAGGCATAGTCCAGGGCTGGGACCCGTGAGGCGCAGATCGAGAGGCTATGAGAGGGCTACTCACACTGTCGTTACTTCCCTTGTTGTCTTCGTACTTGGTTTCTATGTGGATGGAGAATTTCGGCAGGAAGGAACACTGTGGAGGAAAGCAGACAAAGATCAGCACTGTGTTTTCCTTCTGTCTTTAGTGTGGCGTGGGGCTGCTTGGCTGACCATTAGATTGGGAGCACAGGTCTACAGCAGATACAGTAAGCCATACGTTAATAACTTCATTCTGTAGGAGAAGCCACCGCCGTGAACATCATTTCTTTCGATAGTTGGACCAGAGGCAGTAAGTAGTGTTGGAAGGGGTGTGGACCAGGACATTTCCAAAGGGAATATGTGCTAAGAATCTGGACATGGGCATGGCTATGTAGACACCTGTTACAGTGGCCAACTCCAGGACTGGGAGCTCACCTGCTGCTCACTAGGGACCTGATCTTAACCCATATGGTAAGGTGCATATAAAATTAGGGGGAGGGTGTGACACAGTACAACCTTGAGAACAGAGATTATTGGTCAGATAGGTGTACGTGTGTCCTGTATGTGTACATACATGTGTGTGTGGGCATGCATGTGAACACAGAGAAGCTGATGGCCTCTGATGGGTATTTTCCTCAATCACACTCCACCTTTTGCTTGTGTGTGTGTGTGTGTGTGTGTGTGTGTGTGTACACACGCACTCGCACATTTATGAGACAGGGTCTCTCTATGTGGTCCTGAATGTCCTGGAACTCCCTCTGTAAACCAGTCTGGCCCCAACACAGAGATCTAGCTGCCTCTGCCTCCAGTGCTGGTTTGAAGGGTGTGTGCTGTCTTTGTATCTGCTTGCTTCCATCTTTCCCTACCCCCCGCTGAGATCACGATACCACTGCTCTTGTATTTTATGTGGGTGCTGGGATCTAAGCAAAGATCCCCATGCTTGCCCAGCAATTGTTTTACCTAACAAGCAAGCTCTCCAGCCTCTAGAATTCGTCATTTTAATACATAAGTTTAAGGGGCTAGTAAGATGACTCAACAGGAAACTACTTGCCACTCAAGTCTGACGACCTGAGTTCAATCCCTGGAATTCATGGAAAAAAAAAAAGCCGGATGTGTTAACGCAAATCTGTACTCCCAGTCTTTCTATGGCAAACGGGAAGCAGAGGCAAGACTTTTCTGGAAGCTTATGGGCCAGCTAGCCTGGGGTAGCCAGCACAGTAGAAACAAGAAGAGAAACCTAGCCTAGAAATAAGGTTGAAGAAAAGACTGGAATTTCAACAGTTGTCTTCCTAACCCCTCTCTCTTAACCCATTATGTACTAGTGACATTAGAAAGAATAAATAAATTATCTAACTAACAATACAGCTGGGATCACAGCTCAAGGTGGAACACGTGCGTAGTGTGTGTAAGGTCTTGAGTTTGATCTTTAGAACGGAACCACGTATGTACAACTGAGCAACAAGTAAAGCCATTGGTGAACAGCAGTGACCAGCCCGAGGCTGCAGGGGGTCTGGCTAATGTGTGACGGAGAGAGGCTTTATGTGCAGGGCTGCCCTAATGTCTGTGTCTCACCAGGCCCGATGGTGTCTCTATGAGGTCAGGCAGCCTGAGAAGAGGATGCTGATGGATTTGGGTGTATCCAGCTTCCTCCTGGCACTGAGCTGGGCATTATCTTTCTTGGACCTCAGAGATGAGCTTGAAGGCTAATGCTTTAAATGACCCAGTGATTTCCCTGGGACCTGCAGGTATTAGATACAAGAGACATGGTTTGTCCTGGTCACAGTCCCAAGAGGCTATGTTCTCTGCCCCTGCCATTCTCTGAATGTTTCCGAGTTCTTGGATGCTTGCAAATTCCCCAAGGAGTAAATGCTAATATTATTATCCCTCTTCTCAAGATGAGGAATGGAGCCATAGGCAGGTTAAGTAAATGGCCAACAATCACACAGCCGGTACTGTACAGAATCCGGACTGAAAGCTAAGTAGTTGGGTCCCAGTATCCATATTCTTGAGTACTATACTCAGTGGTTCTCGAAGCCGGGTGTCCAGTTCAGTGGTAGCAGCAGCATTTTGTAATGTTCCAGCATCTACCCTAGAGAATCTGATTCCGAAAGCCTGGAGGTGGGGTCTAGTAATGTAAGCTGGATAAACGGTCAGGGACTTGCTGGGCACGGCCCTGTAGGGAGACTGGCTTACTTCCCTTTTCATGGGCAGGCAAAGGAAAGCTGGGACAGCTAAAGTCTCAGCATCTACTAATACGGCAGCCTGCATCTCGTGTGCTCCCTTCCGCTGTAACTACATTCCCCTGTCAACCCAGCTGACCCTAGGCATGCCTGTAGAAGAAGCCAAGGATGTACCGTGGCTAATTTCCCTGAAACCACATGCCTCGTGCACCTGGTATCTACCTGCCTTAATCTGAGAGAAGCAATCCAAGCTGTGACTAAGGAAACACAGAGATGACCAATCCCAGTAATTGCCTCGATGGAGGCCTGAGGCGCTGTGGTGATTTATTAACACCTCCCCCGCTGTCTCTCATCCAACCTCTCACTCGGTAACCACTCTGCCCTCACACCCATTTCCAGGGACTTCCAGGGAGGGAGGCTGGTCATCACCAGTCAAGACGCTGGTGCCCTTGAAGGCCCCCTGGCCTCGATTGATTCACGAGCTCGGGGGAGACGTCCTTGCGAAGAAACCCTCTTATCTTCAGGGAAATCAATATTTGTCCTTGCAAATCTGTGACTCATCCGAGGGTCAATCCAATGAGGAGCCAGAGAAGGCGGCAAGGCAGGGTGGGAATCGGTCTGTGTCACCAACCGAAAACTCCACGGAGGTGTAACTAAGTGTCTGTGTAGACGTGCCCCTGAGTGTCTTGCTCTATCACAAAGTCTCTTGTGTAACCTGAGACTTGCTGATCGACTAAGCTGTGTGACTTCAGAGCCCCAGGGAATTCTCCTGTTTCCCTAGCACAGACACCACAGGTGTCCCAACACGTCTAGTTTTTGATGTGAGAGTCCAGGATCCAAGTTCAGGTCCTCATGCTTGTGTACAAGTATTTAACCCATTAGGTTCTCTCACCACCCTGTGGTTCCCCCCTTCCCCCTCCCCCCACCCCAAGTTAATCTTCTAAACCACTTATCTAGGTCAAGCAAATAAACTCCAGCGTTTGGGTTTCAAACCCAAATACAAAATGCAAAAAAAGCGTGCATGCAAATTCACAGGTGTTGCTATTTGGAGTGGAGGAGGGAGGTTGTTTTCCTCTGCCTGCAAGAGGGCTGCAGGTGCATCTGCCCTCAGCAAGGCAGCAAGAGGATGCTCTGAAGACCTAAGAAGCCCTATCTAGGGTTGGAGAATTTGGGGTTGGGTGGTGAGGTGGGGCTGGGGCTAATAATCCCCAGTGGGACATCTTATGGCTTCTTCCTGGGTTGCTGGCACATGAGAATCTCAAGGCAAAATCAGAAGGCTCAGGGGGCAAGGGGACACACTACCAAGACGGACAGTATGAGTTCAGCCACCAGAACCCAAATGGTGGGCGAGAAGAACTGACTCCCACAAACTGTCCTCCAACCTCTACAGTTGCGCCATGACACACATGTAACATACATGCACACCCACCCACATGCAAACACATTGCATATAAAGAAAATCAGAAGCCCCTATGGCTATAGTTGCTTTAAAACTGTTATTAAACTCTTGAGTGAGTTGTTCATCTTCAGTAATGTTTTGAGGTTTTGTTGTTGTTTTTTAATGTTTTGAGATTTTATTTGTTTTTATTTTATGTGTATGGGTTTTTTTGTTGGTTTTGGTTTTTGTTTTTTTTGCCTGCATGTATGTCTGTGCACCACATACATATAGTACCTGTGGAAACCAGAAGAGGGCACCAGATGCCCTGAGACTATAGTTACAGATGGTTCTTGGCCATTAAGTGGGTACTGGGAATTGAACCCTGGTTCTTTGGAAAAGCCACCAAGTGCTCTTAACCATTGAGCCAATTCTCAAGTCCAAAATGTTTATTTTAAGATTAGAACCTGGGGCCTGATGATGATGAGCCTTCACACACACACACACACACACACACACACACACACACACACACGAATAAACCTATGTGTCTCATGCAGTGTCTATAGACAGCCAGCAAATCTCCATTATTAGACAGTCTTCCATTTCTCCTTTAGAAACTGAGCTATCCTAAGCACCCCTCCCAACCTTCAGTCTTCTTCTCTGGAAGTTGTTCTTTTTCTTCTCTTTCTTCCCCACTTTTAAAAACATTTAGATTAATTTATTAGTGTGTGTGTGGGGGCATCCATGTTACCACATGTGTATAGGGGCAAACTTGTAAGAGTTGGTTCTCTCCTCCTGTTATGTGGGTCTGGGGGACAGGAACTCAGGTTGTCAGACTTGTCGAGGGGTACTTTCACCCACTGAGCCATTTTGCTGGCCCAAATCTCACAATTTTGACTCACAGTTTGATGAGGACAGAGACCTCACGGTAAGAACACCGGCAGCACGCTTCCTCCACTGCCGGTTCTTCAGTTACTTATTTTCACTCCTTACTCCTTGAGAATCAGAGAAGAACCTCATTCTTTGTCTCCCTATCACAGGATACCACAACAAAAAGAACTGGTGTTCTTGTCAATGACTTGGGCTCAAAAGGGAAAAATATCTTAAATTTTACTGTCCCCCAGCCTCAGCTATTCCAGAATGGGGAAGATCCTTCTCCATCTACTCTGTAGGAAACTCAGAAGATCAGTGATTGTACAAACACTGTCTAGCCTAGTACAAAGTGGCTGTATAGTAAGGAAAACACATTTATACATCTTGCCCGGAACCTTGTTTAATTGATTGATTATTTTCTCCCTATCTCCTTTTCATGTCCCTCCAAACACAGGAAGTATTTTATTCATGTACACAGTTTGTGTGTGTGTGTGTGTGTGTGTGTGTGTGTGTGTGTACACACAGGGTCCAGAAGGCCAGAGGAGGGCATTACATTTCTTTTATCTTGTTCTACTTTTTCTGAACCTGGAGTTTATGTTTTTTTAGTTATGCTTACCTGGCTTGTTCCCCGGGTGCTAATTTGAGCCTTCATCCTTCCAGCCTGCACTGTCCTAAGTCTTACAG